TATATATATATATATATATATATATATATATATATATATATATATATATATATATATATATATATATAATCACACATATTCGATCTGACACACAGATTACTCGAAGAAAGTCGTGAACTTCCTATGCTGTAATGTCCGCAACAATTCCCGGCCTGGCGTCGGGTCAAGTGACTCGTTGCGCTAATTACCCCCGGAGCGGTTGTCATTTAAATTGGATTAATTCCCGCATTTTTTTACCAACCGGCAGAACGGCAATTGATGAATGCAGTGGAATGGAATGGCATATCGGGTGACCACATCGTCGCCCGCGAAGGACGGGACCGGGACTCGCTCTACGGACCGAGGTGACCGAATGTGTCTCTCTGAGTCACCGTCGGACACGGTTCAGGAAATTTCAGGAATCGCATGGATAAAGGCCACACCTGATCAATGAATAACATCTCCGCCTGATCCTGCATTTGATAGCCCACGTCAAGTAGTGTCTGGACATCTTTGGTGAACGCCGCATCTGCCTTCGTTTGTAGCGCCAGGGTGTCGTTGTTGAAAGTTGAGCTGAACGCAGTGAGCGCATCTTCCCAGCAATAGAGAGCTTTTTCCAACGCCTCGAGACCTGTGATTAAACAATTGTTTAATTTTAACGAGGAAAACATATCTATGTTCGCACATAGTATGTTTTGCATTTTATAATCACATACACAGAAAAAAGAATATTATTTTGAGAATATCTTTACATTTGACGTATAAATCTTACAATGAAATTACATTGTGCTAAACGAAGATAAGTCACTTGCATCAATACATTTTATATGCTACAACAAAGAAAAATTTATTTTTATTATTCAAAAATAATTTTTTAACAGAAAGTACAAAATAATAGATTATTACATAACAATAGGTTAGGAACCGGAATTAGAGAATAGATTTTTAAATGTCAGAAGAAGATATTATTATCAAAATAATCATATTGTATTTTTTATTAAACTTATAAAATTCAAATAAAATAACATTATTAAAATTCAAGATTGAAAACTTTTCTAACAAAATTATATATTGTTGGTTATACATGAAACAATGATTGATAATTTGAATATATTAGTTTTAAGTGGATATATTAATACTTTTTTTTATGTATCACCAAATTGTAATTAAATGTAGCAATATCTAAAAGATAGATAATTTGAAAATCTTAAAAGTGTTTGTGAAAGTTTATGGTCAGTGTTCTCAGAAAGAAATATATGTGGATGATAGATTGGGTGCTATTATTACTAGTAAAGCATAGTAGCACATACATTACTGTGTTAATTTAATTATATGCAAAACATAAGCTCGTATTAATAGTTCTTACTTGAAATTTGTCGTTAGATTCTCAGGCTTGAACTTCAAGTTACATTAGAGTTTCTTATTTGAATCCTACAATATTTATGACATTTGCAATTATAATTAAATTGGAAAACTCATATCCAACTTAAAATTCAGATCTGAATATTCCCCTTGAGACAGCCCAACCAGACAGATGCTGAACATAGATTATATGCAAACATTTAATTATACTTAGTGATGCTATTGTAAAAGCACAACATGTTTGAAATATATTGTTTTAAGAAGTACTATTTCGTTATGTTATATTCTCGAATAAAAGTATTTAATTCTAATTACTACAATAATATTTCAGATTAATTACGTTCTCTTGTTGGCAATTTTCATGACAACAGAATATTGTCGTAATAATGATACAATTTTCATGGTGTCGGATGCCTTCTTTTATATACTAACAGAATTCTTGTTGCATAAGAATGCACCCTTGCATACTTGTGATACAATTCTTAATTCAGTCATTACAGGGCAATCAGGCAATACGCCATGATATGTTTATCTGGGAAGTTTCAAGTAACGACTGTTAACACGGATCATAGTTATGCATTATTTCTACAGGTACCATATTTCTCAACCCAGTTCTCAGTGAAGAAAGCACATCTTTATCTCGATTACTACAAGAGTGATGATTTTTTCCAGAGAACAAACACTACATGCGAGACCGGTATCAATACATACCATGAATCATACAGATGCTGAAAAGCAAAAGGAAAAGGAGATTGCGGCTTTGCGAATAAAGAGCAAGAGTAATGCGTGCCACTTGAGGACGCAGGACTCGAATTCCGAGTCGGTGACGCCACACTCTTTTTCTCTCTTCTCATTTAATCTTTTTGTAAGTCGCCACAGAGCATTCACCAATTTGCTACAACGGAAGTCCGACATGCTGTGTTAATTCAGAAGAGAGAGATGGGGATAGCAAGCTATAATGTCCCGAAGATTGACCCATTCATCATTTTCAATCTGTGCCTTTACTAGCGCACTGTCCACCGACAATTATACGATATTATTTGACCAAATCAGGGCGTATTACGAAAAAGTCGGTGTCATCGCGATCCTATACCATTGATTCTCTTCAAGTTCGTATATTAAACAGGAACAGACGAATAGACGACAGTGCACTTCTCAGAAAATACTTGAGATTTCCAAGATATCATGCTCTATATCCCAGATGCTATTATGAATAAAATTCCCCTACTTCATCTTTGCTCTACTAATTTTGAAAATGGTCTTGTCAATGTATAAATTTTGTTTACCCAAAGAGTTTCTGTTTAAATTTACAAACATTTCTATTATACACAATTCTTCAATTTTTATGTGTAACAAAAAGTGATCTCTCGTATAGTCACCTCTCTCACTGTTCATTTCTGCTTTAAAATCTAAGTAAAAAAAGATGTTAAAAACAATTTTATGATATGGAAGTTTTACTTATTCTTCAAGTTATTCTTCTTCACTCTAAAGAACGGTTTACACCGAAAAAGTAGTAATAACAATGTTAATAGCAAAATGCTAATAATAAAAATGTATTTAGCAAAACTGTGTTCTCCAAAAAACAACTTACTGAATGTTTCTAACAAAATATGCTTTCAACAATGTGGAGAATGCAAACGTCACCGACAAAGTTGGAAAAAAACTATTTTACTGCTATAATCACGATAAAACTGCTATCTCCGATTTAATATAAATTACAATAAAAAATAAAGATATAAAGAGCCAAAGTTGCCGATGTTAAGAGCAACATACAAAAATTTATTTTAATCCGTGAAATACGTTTCGACCATTTGATGTGGTCCTCTTCGTTTAAGTCGGTCAATACAATATTACATCATAAATCCCTTGATAGTGGTATCATACTTTCAAAACTGTCACAGATTGTTCCCTCCTGATGTTCGTAAGCTACATATAAAAAAAATCGAACAAACACGATATTGAAAAAAATTAATAAAAAATTAATAAAAAATTACAATTAATATGATAATTATTTCTTTACCACGGATATGAAGTGAGGAAAGCTCCTGCACTCCAACAGTCAACAAATTCAATTCCAAACCAACTTTACTTGATGGACAATAAGTGTAAGCAAGAATCACAACATTAGCATATAAAGGTAAGACAACGCAGAGGAAAGAGAGAGAATTTTTGTATATAGCTCTTAATATCGGCAACTTTGGCTCTTTATGTCCTTATTTTTTATTGTAATTTGTATTATATCTTGTTGAGCCGTAGATTAATGTAATTAGTAATTATTATTAAGAATTATCTCCAGTTTATTTTTAGATTCGGAGAAAGAGCCAAATTTTATCATCAGTTGTTTTATCATCAGAGTTTAATTGCAAATTCGAAATCGGGATGTTTAATTTGTTTGGATCGCGCGGCACAGATGTCGGGAGCTGTGCGAAAATCCCGGAAACTAGAAAGTTACTGGAGAGGGTTGAAGAAACGAGAGGTCGACAAACTCGGCAGCATGTATCATTCAACCGGATGAAATAGTAAACACTAACTTATGAATGCACTTGTAGCTAATGCTCGTGTCGAGAGAAGCGATGGCATCAATTGAGCTGAGAGAGGAGATTAAATCGACGCCTCGTACTTCGCGTTGACGCGGCCCGATCTTCATACGAGATATCGATTGCGCGACTCGGTGACTCCTCTCTGCGACGACGTTAATCTCGTTCCTGAAACGACTTCAATTTCGTACAAGGAGGGATATATTCGTACCGTCAGCTCGACCCACCCTATGCGTGCAGCAGCGAAATGGGCGTCGATTGTTCGCGCGTGACTCGTCTATTCATCTGGATAAAATAAAAATCGCGTTCTTGAAATTAAATGGGAAAGAGCAGGAGAACGAGAGAAACGCATTGCACTTGCTCCAAAATCCTCGCGTCCGACACCATTCGGGCGTTCTCGTAATCTTCAAGAGAATCATGTCATACATTTCAAGTTGGTGCCGCAGATTTCAAGATTACGTCTATGCAAACTGCTTACATATTTTCTACATAATGTATACGATCATAGACACTGTAAATTATGTAGGATATTGTAAAATATACACTGAAAGAAAAAAATATAATAATATATAAATAAGAAGTAAATATTTATTGTGGATACTATATATATAGCAACATATCTACTTATATTAATATAAAATATTTTTCAAATAAAAAATATACACTTTCTTAAAAAATCTTAGCATGAAAGCAATTATTTATTCTATTTAAATAAAAGAATTTAAATTTTAAAAATATATGTCATAAGTATCCACCAAATAAATATTTTTCTTAGATTTTTTTCTCAGTATATAAAAAAAGTAATGTTTAAGAGAAGTAAAACAAATTGCATGGAATTTTCATTTCTGTCGACTCTATCCACACAGCAGAAATATTCAAAATACATGATGAAGATATACTACAGATATCACAATATATTTAGGATATCCCAATGATATATTCTGCTATATAATTTGTTTAGGAAACAATGTTAATTAATTTACATCAGAATTATACAGTTTAAGCAAAAATAAAAATTGTTTTAAATTAATTTTTAAGCAAGCCACATGTTCTCTTTGAGCGACATTCATAAATTGTAAATTGTTTACATAGATAACGTTTTATACACGTTTTATAGTTTACGTTGTCTACACGCAGACGTAGAGTATCATAATTTACACGTAACTTTGATACATTTTGCGCGTACCCATTTCGTACGATCAAATCTGGAACTGAAAGAAAAAACGTGTTTCAGGAAATATCTTTCCTCGCGCGGAATAGCATTCTTTTCTCCCATCTCTGAAGACAACGCGCATACTCAAGAACCGCATATTATCCGTAGATCAGACCACAATTCTGAAGGATAATATATCCGCCATTCACCTTCTACGTATTCTCTCTCTCTCTCTCTCTCTCTCTCTCTCTCTCTCTCTCTCTCAAAGAACTTTTTTTAATTTCAATCCACAGGCTGCAATCCACGAGAACATTTCATCCCCTAGTCGATACATGGTGAGACGGAAAACGCGGAGCAGCAGGAAGTGACATAATCAAATAGCTCGGAAATGCGAGGCCGCACCGGGGCACCGGGTTAAGTCTTACGGAAGGGTTAAGCCCGCCGCGATCCTTCGGGGCAGCGTCGATGCGATCGTTATGACTGCAGGACAAGGGGGGTCGCGAGACACGGAGGGATGGCTGCCCCCGGAGAAACGCGGCAGTGCGACGCCGTTGCACGCGTCCGGCGTCAATAATATCCGAGCGTGACGTAATCGCCGGCCCGGCCGGTCATTGGAGGATGCGTCATCCAATGGTGAGAGGTCGATAACGGGGCGCCCTTGCGAACTCGCAAGGCGCGCAAACGCGCTCTCGCTTTGAAGTTAGCGCCGCTTCGCGCCGGCTGAGTGCCACTGCGCTTTCCTGAGTGTGCGTTGCACTCACCACGAACTGCCGCGTCGCTTTCGCTTCCCGAGGCATGTCCCAGGTCGCCGGATTTCTCTTCCTCTCGGGGTCGAAAGGGAGCACGCCGGAGGGTTGGCATCGTCGCAAGGTCCAAAAGAAAGGCCGGATAAATACGCGTTGCGACAACTTCATGCGCGCGCGCTAACTGCATGGGGTGATTTCCCCTTTAGGGAATTCTCCAGGGGGCGATTGCGTCGAAATGAAACAGCACTGTTCATGTTTCGAAGCCTAAGCGCCGTCCCCCTCACGAATTGCGTTCCCCGCCGAAACTGAACACGTCGGAATGCGGAGAAGAGAAGATCCGTATCGCACACGGGTAATAAATTCGAGAATCGGCGCTATTAAATACGCCAGTCTCGCGACTTTGGATCTATTGATTTCCTCTATTACACTTTCGGAACTTAAAAAAAGACAGATATACAAACGAGACTCGGTGGAAGAAAAATGAGAGAGAACTAGTACAGTTCAACAATGGAAAACAAACTCTTTGTTGAAACGTACGCGTGAATTACACGTTGCTCTCTGATCGTCCTTCGGCGAAACCTAACCTCGAAGTTCGCGTTTCGGAAGCGAGATAACTTATTCGTTTCTTTTTGTCCGGAGCTTTGAATAATACACGGCGGACGAATTTCGTTTTTTAAGCGAACAGAGCGCGCAGCGTCGAACGGGGGCGCGGCCAATGGGAGAGCGCGGCGAGCGCTGCGCAGAGAGGTGCGCGGAAGGGAGAGAGCGACGAGAGGCGCGCAAGTGGGAGATGGTCCGCGCTGGCGTCAGTTACTCGACAAACGCGTTCGGCGTAACACTTGCTCGTAGTCAGTCGCGCCCGCAGCAAGTGTTTCCGTGTTCCTGTTACGGCCGTTGACACGCGTCGGGACTCGCCGACCGGGAGTAACGGAAGACCACCTCGTCGCCGTACGATGATCGACGACGTCGTCGTCGCGAGATCATAGGTTGCGCGATAGATAAACGGAGATCGCCCTCTCCCCTTTGAGTGCCTCCTCATATTCCTCAGCGATCACCTTCGCGCGCGCGTTATTTGGATTAAAGCAGAGCGTCGACGAGCAAGCCGAAGACGGACGATCGAGGTGAGTATGAGCGGAATTGCGCCGGAAACTTCCTGTCGGAAGTTTGCACAGCGAATTCGTCACGATCGGGGCGTCATCCCGAGGCGAGGACAAATACCACGGCGTCGTCTCTGTACTACGCGATTAGGCTGGATTCAAATGCATTTCGCTGCAGTCAGCGCCATTTAAAGAACTCGATACATTCCGATACGGGAGTTCCCTGTCGAAAGGATTCACCCTGACCCCTTCCGCTCCTCCTCCTTCTCCCCCGTCTCTCTTTCTCTCTGTAGAAGTGGCTCGTCCTTTCCGCGTCAGCTCGTGCACTTCCGCCTTTCTGGAATCGTCCCTCACGAACATGTAGCGTCGTTTCCTTCGCTTCGCGATGAGCTATCTCTAGCTAGAGAGAGGTCTCAAAGCAAACGTTTCTTTGAGTCCACCAATACGATTGCTCTGTTTTCGTGCTGCTACGATGGCGGGATTCCGAAAATCGATATTTTATAAATTCAAACGGCCATGCATCGGTGCGGTGACGCACTTCGGACCGGTGCGCTCAGGTGAGACGAGAATATCCTCTTACCAAGAGAACGAGAATAATCCGAGAGAGGGGGGAGGCGGTCCGATTATTTCTGTATATTTTCCGATAACCTGAATATCTTGCGTCTATTCTTTCGCCTGTCGCTACTCGGACGAGATCAATAGAATTGATGCCGGCTGCTCTATCCTTGGGAAAAAAAGCGAGACAGAATCGTATTGTTCGTCCCTCTCGATAAGAGAAACGTATTTATCGTAAAAAGAGATCGGAGGTTCGTCTCACAATATCGAGCCTCGAGCAACACCTGGACGCGCGCCTTGCTTGTTTATTGCGCAACGCCCGTAACAATAACAACAACAACAACAACACAAGGACATGACGCAAAAAAAATTGATTGACCAAGCGCAATCGAGACAAGCGTGAAAACTCATAAATTCGATGTGAATCCGACACTCAATGCAAACTACACATCCTGCATTATTCCGTTCGTCACTCGACGATACCGTTCGCGAGTCTCGGGAGCATGGAAGCCTCGTCGAGGTGAAACGGATTGAGTCACGCGTTTCGTTGCAGGTCGACATTTTCAACGCGCACGTTATACACTTGAAAAGCCCCTAACGCGAACTCGAAGCAGTCGCCTCGGCCGTGTCTCGTGCGGACTTAGTCGCGGGATTTAGGCTCGCATAGGTTCCTCTATGGGGGTCAAGTTCAGGGGTCAATAGCTCGGTGGTGGTAGTAGGTGGTTGGTTGGTTGGTTGGTTCCTGGCGGTACCCTCGAATAAAAGTGAATGCCACGGCGGCACGTAAGTGCAAGTACGATAGCGGCCGTAACCGCGCGCCGGCAGCAGATCGATGGAGGTGTGCCTGGTGAACTTGGAAATTCCCCTAGCACACGCGCACTTCCTCGTCGCTCTCTTTCTCGCTCTCGGCGCCTTCCTTCACGGACAGTGCCTGCCACACGCGTGTGTGCAACACGAGGATAACGCACGCCCAAGTAAACGGATGCGCGGCGTAACAACCGATCGAGAAAAACGGCTAATCTTCTGAAGTCGCGCCGCCTCGATCGTCCGCCAATGACCCGCGATGATTCACGATGTTGCCCGAGGGGGGTGATACTCCCTACTAAGTGCCCCGTTGAAAAAGAGGGACGAGTATCCTTCGAGAAATCTGCGGCGGCGCGATTTTCCGCAGACTTCCTTCCGCCCTTTCTGAGATTGTAAAGGGACGAGACTGAGATCTCGAGGGCCGTGTCTAATCTACAATGCCATGTTCTTTGCTCCTTGCTTCTTTCTCTTTATCTCTTTCTGACTCAAACCTTAAACTTTAAGTTTGATCTACAATATATTGTTTGCCTCTTGCTTCTTTCTCTTTATCTCTTTCTGACTCGAACCTTAAGCTTTAAGTCAGAAAAAGACCAAAAACAAGAAACAGTACATTGTAGATTAGGCTTTAAGCCAGAAAAAGAGAGAAGACAAGAAACAGAACGCAAAGCGATCGAGCAGTTGATGTTCAATGAGAATAGAGTTTCAGAAAAATTGTATAGTATAACTATATGATGTTTGTGTTCTTTTATACATTAATAAGAAAGTTTGGCGATAACTATCAAGTCTGGATAATTCACTGAAAAAAGAAATATCCGGGAAATAAAAAAAACATTCGGTGGGTACTAATAACATGTTTACTTAAATCTAAATTTCTTTGTTTAAATGGAATAAACAATTGCTTTTATGAAAAGCAACGGTTTTAAGAAAATATATATTTTCTCATTTGAAAAAAATTTTGTTCTCCATGTAAAAATATGTATATTAATACAAGTATGTTACGAATAAATGTTTCTCATTTTTTAGATATTTTTTTCTCAGTGTAGTTGTCCTTCGGGAACAATAATTGGAGCACGTCCTGTTTTCCTTTTTTTTTCGACTCACTCTATATTGCGCGGAAGAGGGTCGCTTCCCGTTGCGTGACTGGAGAGGTCGTGATACAGTTATAGGATTAATATACACACGATGAGTTTCCGCGATAACAATTGGCGATTACGAAATTCCTAATATTATTGCATTAAACCCAATTTATACCGCGCACGATATGTCGAGAATGCCGATGCTATTTTAGTGCAATAATGAGCATTGCGTTTCCGAGATGAAATGAATCGAGTCACACCTCGGAGAAGGCGCGCAATAAGTCGAGGTCCTGAAATCGGCGCGGAGGAAGCAGGAGGCGGCTAGTTGGTCGGTTAATGGGTGGATTGGGTTAGTTGGTCTTCGCCTTCGCGCGCTCTACGGAAACCGAAAAAAAGCATGCAACTGGAAGTTTGGCCTCGCTGATAATTACAGAGCGGATAATGTTTTTTCACGGAATTCGCCGCGTAATTTCACCCTTTCACGACGACTCGATTATCACTTATATCTGTTTCTACCAGCATCGATTAAACCTCAATTTGAGTCCAACTCTATTCAGACAAAGGCTCAAGTCAATGTTTAATCGATATAAGTAGAAACGTACATTAATGTACAAATCTTTTTATTATATAAAGTATATAGTATATAAAGCATTTAGTATATATATTAATTTAATTATTTCGCGTTAATATTGCTAGAAAGTTATGTTAAGTAATAATTAATACAGCATGAAGAAGCTCCAAAAATCTGTGCTAAATGTCGATAGACATTTTTTTATATGCAACTTTGACACTGCAGCAAGAGAATATCGATCAGACTTACATAATGTTTAAAAACCTTATAAAGAAATAATCGTTTTTTGCTGCGCGAGAGTGCACCGCGTTGTCGACTCAAATCAGCTGCACCTCGCTTCCCGCGCTATTTTTCCCGCCTGAGCTCGCCAAGTATAAGACCGCGAGAACGCTCATGGACTCGTTTAGGATGACGGATGCATTACACGGTGCATTTGCGCAAGTGCTTTCAGCGTAATTAATCGTAGGTAGCTACTGCAGGGTGTAACCCGATTTTCGAGACCTACTAGAGCTGACTTGTGTCAGAGTTCTCGCGCGAGAGTTCGCGTAATGCAACCTTCGCGAGCATGCGAAATGCGATTTACCACCGCGATCTAACCGATGTGACCCGATTACCCGCTTTATTTCCGCTAAATAGCTTCGCGAATCTTCAGCCACACTATGCGGTGGCGTTGCATTATGTATTGCATCAGACACCGACTGCTTAATTAAATTCAAACGTTATAGACCAGTGTCGATAATAATCGCCGGCTTCCATTGACAGAAATATTAAATTTCCCACAATCATAATATAATAATTGCGTTACCGACCGCAAACCTGCGGTCGCGATATTGCGCAACTTTGAGCGATAAAATCTCTCTCCCCACAGAATCGTGTCTTTCTCCCCTTCCTCTATCTCTCTCACTTCTATGCCTCTGAATTCCTCGCTTTTTTGCATTGAAAACATCACTCGTGTTCGCGTGTGCGCGCTTTTTTGTGACGCGCTTGCCTCGCGCGGATGGCCAGAAATATCTCACGGAAGAAAACTCTAACGAGCAGGTGCACGCGTCTCGTCGTCAGCTCACACAGGAGAGTGCAGCGCTTTCTGTCCCAACGCCGACGCGTCGATGGATGCAAATTGCCGTCCGACGTAATAATGAGATACGCGATCACGTTGGATATTAGGTAATAGTGGCGGAGCCCCTGGTTGCGCGCTCGGGAGGATGCTTCTCGACCCTGATGAGGCTAATAAAAGTGACATCATTACCCGCCCCGGCGGCGCAACGAGCCTTTAACCTACGCGTCGACCGTTCTGATTTTCATAATCTGGTTCACGACATCGTCGCACGCTGCTGCCTGCGTCTCTCACGCCTCGCCGCCTCCTCTTCGTTTCACCGCGTGTCCTCTTGTCCAGAGCGCGCGCGTCCTTCTCCTTCGCCGAGGAGTCGGCCGCAGGACGCTGGAATTTCCTCATTTTTCCCATCTACGTCGCCGGGGAATCTAGGTCCGTGTGTGAGCACTGTGCAAGGATATTAATATTCCCCAGTATGTCCTCTCGAAGCGACAAGGCACTCCTCGCGCGGTTCTCCTTGTCGATTTTCCTGTATCGCGTTCACGAAGCCAGGTGTACAAGTAGTTCTGTGGGTTCCATTTTTAACTCTAATCCGGGAAGCCATTGTAGTGGCGCAACAGCAATTTTTTTAAATATAACTACCATTTTTCTTTTTATTATTATTATTATTATCATTATTATTATCCATTTATATAATACGACATAAAATAATAATAGACATTTTGCTTTATATTTTGACTTTTTTCTTATCATATATAAGGAGTTCTTATCATGTACAAGGATTTGATGATCCAGATTTACTCCGTTAGACACACTGCATATTTTTATATAATTTCAGCAGAAATTAATAAAAAAATTTATATTCTTTCATAATTTCCCACACAAAAAGAAGATTTCTGTATAATTAAATAAGAACAAAGATCAATTCGAACAAACAGTTACCATGCGACCCGGAAAGCCACTATAA